AATACGCTAACCCTTAAGTTCCAGTTAAAATAACAGAATGCAGAAGTGGGAACTGTTGTCATTGAGCTTAAATTAGAGACGGTTGCCATCCCCTCAAGAGACTTGTGTCGGGACTTTACAAATTAATGTGCTCCCTTCAGCCAGGCATTGGCCCTTTTTATCATTTGCTGAAAGAATGTAAGAATTTGGTGGCAAGTGGGGGTGGGGGTGTACTTGAACAGCCTGCCTTTTTCTTTCTAACTCGGTATGAGTGAGGGAGAAGTTGGCCATATGTCAGAGATTTATCAGTGATTATACATTCGTGCATTATTTCTACCGCAAGCCCGTGTGTTCATCAAAGGAAAGGTTACAACCCTTTCCAAAACTGGTCTTTAACGTTACTACGGTAAAGGTTATTCAATAAAGCTAGCTCTGTCAAATCTTGCCTTTAACCTTTTTACTTCTGGTAGAAACCAAGTGAACCCTGCCACCTGGATACCAGGTATTAATTCTTTTTATTTACTTTAGAGAGGGCAGAAAGCAGCTGTATTAGGGTTTCAGAGAGACCGCTTTAGGTAGAAAAACGCATTTGTCTTTAGATAAATTGAAGGTGTGGCACAACTAATATGTTTGAAATATGTTATCTTTTGAAAACTTTGATTTGTTGGTAATGATATATGTGGGCCTCACTAAATAATGGTAATAATATGCAATCCAGAAACTAAATTTTTCTGGATATTTATGCCCCCACTTTGTATTTTCTTAGCATGATTTTAAGCAGGGGACCAGAAAAAGAGATGCACAAAGTCCTTAATTGGATCACTATTTGGGATAGGAGCCTGGGGGCGTAGGGGTCCTCATTGGACTGCTCACCACAGTCAGCAGTTCCAAACCACCAGCCTCTCCGGAGGAGAGTTACAGTCTCAGAAACTCAGTTGAACTCAAGTCTACCAGTTCTATAGGATCACTGTGAGTCCGAATCCACTCAATGGCAGTGAGGGATGGGAAAAAAGAGAGAGATCTCTTATATTGTCAAATTGACCTGAACTGGTGTGGCTAGAAAAGGCCCTAGGTGGTACTACACACAGCAGCTAACCAGAAGGCTGCAGTTTGGAGTTCACCTAGGTACCTAGAAAGAAAGGCCTGGGCGTGTACTTCTGAAAAAAAATTTTTTTAATCAGCTATTGAAAACCCATGAGTCCCAGTTGGCTTCTAGGCAACTTTGGGGGCGGGGCGGTTTGATTAGGAGGTAAAGTGTTTACAGATATCCTGGGACACTTTTCTGGTCCATCAGCCTCCCTAATAATAATAAAAACCAAAAGGAACTGTGTTGAAACTGCATGGTGCTGGGCCTCCTTGCAATTGATTGAAAACCCTCATGTTGTTTTGTTTGCTGCTCTAGAACAGAGAGCCACTGTCTGAGAACACCTGCCCAGTGTTCTCTTACAAAGAAAGTTTTATAATTTTATTGTTTTAATTGAAATTTTGTTATTGACGTGTAACAGGTTATAAAGTATCGAATGCCTTCAGATACTCTGACTAAAGCAGGGTTTTTTATTTGTTTACATCATTAACTTTTCTCCAGAGAAGTGACAGTTAGGTGCTGTATGGCCTGAGCAAACAAAAGTTTAGCTAAGACCAAGTGCATGCAATATTGAAGGGTACCATGAACCATTCCATCAAAAAGCAGTTCACGGTCCCAGTATTTTCTGAACAAGTTCTTCCCAACTGTCAGGGGTCTTTGTTGTTGCCGGGATTGGTTTTTAGGCTTTGTCGAGCACAGTGGTTCTCAACCTTCCTAATGCCACGACCCTTTCATGCAGTTCCTCATGTGGTGGTGTGCCCCCAACGGCCCAACCATAAAATTACTTTCGTTGCTACTTCATAACTAATTTTGCCACTGTTATGAGTCGGGCGACCCCTGTGAAAGGGTCGTTGGACCCCCAAAGGGGTTGAGAACCGCTGGTCTAGCAGGATTCTAATTGCTCTGTAAAACAAGTTCTTACAAATTTTTAAAACCGCTTAAATTCAGTGTGTGAAAAGATTCAGAGTGCGAAAACAATACACTTACCCCAGGTCTGCAGCCTGGGGGAAAAAACAGAAGGCTTTAAAATGGGCTTTCGGGAATACCGGAGACTTTCCCAGCACTTTTTCCTTCTACGGTGGGATAAAGGCAAGGTTTTCTACTCGCATAAATAGTGTCTCGGAAACCCACGGGTCTCCGAACGTCAGAATGCGCTCGGTGGCGGGACGTTAGGGTTGGTTTTGCGTTTCTACGGGCATTTCCAAGCTGGATGGTGAAAGCAGGGCAACTGCAGTTGGGGAAAGGGTTTGAGCCGCGGAGGGCCTGCAGCTCCCCAGCGGGGGGGCTGGTGGGGTGGAGGGAGACGGGGCCTCGGGATTGGTCCGTAGGGGGGTGGAGCTGGGAGGAGCACTCGCGCCGCGATGGCCGCCGCCAGCAGGGCACGGGTCGCGCACTTGTTGAAGCTGCTGCAGAGCGCATCGTGAGTGTGGGGCCGGGGGCGGGCAGAGGACCGGAGGGTCCTGCCGTGCCCGCCGAACCCACCCTGGGTGGGAGTGGGCATCCTCCCTCCAGCTTCTCTGAGGACTTGGGGGAGTCGGGTCTGCAGTGCGGGCGCCCAGTCCCGGAGCTGCGAGCTGGACCGGACCGCGTTGTCCGGGACGGTGCCGCCGCGTGGCTTCAGTCGGCGCGGGGATGCAGGTGTGCCTCGGCTTGTTCGACTGTTATGGAAGCAGGTCCAGACAGGACAGTGCGTTGCCCCACGTCTCACCTTGATGTAACCTTGTTGTAAGCAAATTGCCAGACCCTTTTCCCACAGTGCCACTAGTTTGCCGGGTCTCAACCACCAGCCTCCTTGAGGTTCTTAGTAGTCGAGGCCCAAACCACTGGTGTCACCCAGGGACCTGTGTCATAGAGCTCTTCATCAGACAATAGCATCTAGCCCTGGAACCGGTATCACGCAGAGCGTGATTGTCACTGTTGGGTGAGAAAGGAGGGTAGCCTAATTAGAATGGTGATGGAATGAGCATCCTATGGCAGCAGTGGCAGTGTGGGGTCCAGGGACGAGGCCACTGTAGTACTCCAGTAAAAGGTGCTGGCTACAGGCACCCAGACACAGATAGTGGGCATAAGGCGTGTATCTTGGTGTGCTAGTGCTGTCCCAATGAAATGCCACCGGCTAGATGGGTTTAAAGATCAGAAATTCATTTTCTGATCATTTTGGAGGCTAGAAATTCAAATTCCAAGTTTGGGCAGAGTTATGCGCCATTCTTCAGGGAAGATATTTGGTTCTCAGTTTCCGTAGCCCCCAGGTGCCCCTCGGTATGTAGAAAGACCCTCACATTGCTGTCTGCCCCCTGTGTGTGACTACTTCTTTGACCATCTTCTATATAAAATGCCATTCTGAAGGGTTTGGGGCCCACCCTGCTCCAGTATGACCTACTTTAATTTTACTGACCCCATCTGGCGAAGAAAAGCCCTCTCTCTCCAAATAAGGCTGTAGGTACTTGTACAGGAGTTGGGACCGCAGCCTATCTTTTGATAAACTCAATTCAACCCAGGACAGGGTCCCAAAAAAGCAAACTCGCTCACTGCCATTGATCCCTACTTATAGCAAGCCTGTGGGACAGAGTGGCACTCCTGTGGGTTTCTGAGGCTGTGTGGCTTTAAGAAAGCAGAAAGCTTCATCTTCCTCCTGCAGGCAGGATAGATAAGAGAAATACTAAGGAGATGATTAGAAGCAAGAGGGTTGCAATAACTGGTGGGGATTAGATGTGAGGGGTGAGGCAGAGAGAGCAGTTGAGATTTTGGGGCTGGGAAGTCAGAGTAAACAGTGGGGTCATGTACAAAGACAGGGCTTATAAGAGGGTTAGCTTCCAGGCCAACTGCAGCCATGGGACCTTCTGAGTTGGACGTCCTCTGCCGCATGCATACAGGTGGAGACCTCCATGAGGTAGTTGAATATATTGTTCTGGAGCTCAAAAGTGGGCTTGCAACTCATCCATGTACTTAGAGGGCAGTTGAAACCATGGGTGTAGAAGCAAAGCACAGGCCTTGGGAAACTGGAGAAGAAGAAAGGGGCTCAGGACAAAGTCCTGGGAAGCAGCAAATGGGGGGACTTTTGGTACACTATTTTTAATAGGGTCAACATCTAAAAGAAGATAGCACATAAAAGTCTTGGTAAATGACATCTTTGGGTCCCCATTTTGGTTGTGAAGAGCCCACTGGGGTGGAAGTCATGGCTACAGCTTGTAGACAAGGTATGTGCTGCACCCCACCCCCCAAACCCTTTCCTGATAGACCCAGCCTATAGTCACTCCACATCGCAGTGGCATTGGGCTCCCAGGCTCGGTACATTATCATTCATGCTTCCTTAGACATTTGCAGTTGTCAAATGGAGGGAAAGGACCCTGCTCTGAAGAATACAGAGGCAAAGTCAGAGAGGCAGGGAAAGCCCAGAAACAGGACCCGTTGCTCCCTTTGTAGATAGGCAGTGTCCCCGCTCTCGGGCGGGGTCCCCCGGCTTGAGCACAGCAGGAAATAAGACCTATATCCCTGCCACCGTGGAGCTGAAGTGGGTGGTGGTGGTGGTGGTGGTGAGACAACACCCAAGTAAAATTGAAAGTGTATTCTATGCTGATGGGTATTAAGGAGGAAGGCGCCCTGGCGGTGCACTGCCAAGCTTTTGGCTCACCTGAAGATCGGAGGGTCACACCCAGCCAGAGACTCCAATCGAGGAAGATGGAGCAATCTACTTCCAGAAAGATGGCGGCCTAGAAACCTCATCCAGGCAGGTCTGCTCTGTCACGGGGTGGACGCCACACCACCACCACTAACATCCCTGAGGAGAAAAAGAAGGCAGAGTGTTTCAGGAAAAGATGTCATTGCAGAGACAGGTCAAAGCAGCCCTCGCTGTGTTGTTTCGTGGGGCCAGTGCAATAAATGATCCCCAACATGGTGACCTAAACCAACACACATGTATTCTGGTTGTTATGGAGGTCAAAAGTCCCAACTCAGTTTTTCTTGGCCAAAATCACATGGGGGAAGGGCCATACTCCTCCTGGGGGCGCTAGGGGAGAATCCAGTCCTTGCTGTTCCCAGCTTTGAGGGCTGCAGTCCTTGTGTCCCTTGACTGGTGTCCCTTTCTTTCTTTGTCAAAGCCAACAGTGCATAGCACCGTGTGTCCTTGATCACACAAAGTGGGCCTCCCTCTGATAAGGATGCTTGTGATTGCATTGAATCCCCCCTGGGTAGTCCAGGCTACTCTTCCCATTTTGTGATCCTTAACTGCATCATCTCTGCATGTGACAGAGGAGAGCCACCCCCATGAAGTTTTAAGGAAGGAGCCCTGGTGGTAGTTGGGTAAATATTGGACTGCTAACAGTAAGGTCACCAGTTCAAACCCACCATCTGCTTCACAGGAGAGATGAGCTCTGCTCCCATAAAGATCGCTGTGAGTCAGAATCAGGCAAGCAGGGTGGTGTTTTGTTTTGATGGCTATGGAAGCAGACGGCCACATTAGGTCCCTGGGACTAGGTTGTGGATATCTTTGAGGACCATTATTCGGCCTCCCACACTCTCTGATAAGGTAACTCTCGTGTAAAGACCTGTTGGAAACGAACCCTGTGGCTGTCTGGAGACGGGATTGAAGACGCCTCGCCTGCCCTATTTTCAGATAAAAATGACTAAAGCCACCGAGTGAGAGAGGGAGAGATCAAGTCAGAGAAGGGCGAGCAATAGCCCCAAGACTTAGCCTGAACAACTGGGGAAGGTAAAAGTTGCCATGCACTGGGAGAGGAAGAATTAGGGAACCGGTGCTGAAGATCGAACAGGGAAAACCTGAGGTGCCTAATGGATGTCCAATAGAAGATGTAGAGGAGGCAGGAGCCCCACGATGGAAATAGAAATGCACAAGTCATCAGCAGAGATGTTTGAGGACATGAGACCAGGTGAGATCACTCAAGGAGTAAGCGTGGCTAGAAAAGACGCAGGATCCCAATCACACGGATGAAGAGACCCAGGGAGAGTGGCCGTGCAGACAGGAGAAAAGCAGAGCCAGGGGCCCTGGGAGCTACTTGAAGACACTGCCTCCAGGGAGGGGAGACCAGGAGGATGTTGCAGGCGGGTCAGGGCCAATGAGAGCTGAACTCGAATTGAGCAGTGTGTTAGCCAGGTAGTGGTCATCAGTGACTTGATTAAAATCATGTGGGAATGATGGACCACGGGTGCTTGCGCGCAGGTTTCCGTGGGAAGAGAAGAGGAAGCGGAGAGAGCACGCAGTCAACTGGCGAGGGGGGGGAGGGGTTGCAGCAAGAGAGGATCTTATTAAAATGTATTTTCAAAACCTCACTGCCATTGAGTCCATTGAGTCATAGCAACCCTATAGGACAGGGTAGGACTATCCTGTGAGTTTCCAAGACTGTAACTGTTGTCGGGAGTCAGAGCCGCAGCTTTCTCCCTCGGAGCAGCTGGTGGTTTTGAACTGCCAACTTCGCAAATCACCACCCAATGCATAACTGCTATGCCACCCCAGGGCTCAGGGTGGGGTGGGAGGATCTACCACTTCTCTGTCAATGTATTGTCCTGTGATGGCGTGCATGTTGCTAGAAGGCGTTCCAATAGTATTTCAAATTCCATCCGGGTCACCCATCGTGGGCAGGTGACCCTGGACCCGCGGTGTTTCCAGACTAAGGCAGATCGGGAAGAAGAACCCAACGAGCACCTTGTGAAATCCTTGCAAATAACAGCAGCAGAGCCTGATCTGATGCGGTGTCGGGAGATGAGCCCCTCCGTCTGGAAGGGCTGCTTCCTCCAGAGTGACCTTAGTGACGGCTGAGTAAAGCTCTGGGGCATCGCTCAGAATGAGAAGGTGCAGCTGAAGACATCTATCAGTAAGCAGAACGTGGAATTACAAACCTAGGAAAGCGGGAAGTCCTCAAAACGAAATGGACTAATGCATAAAGACAGATATCCAAGGCATCGTGAACTGAAATGGATTGGTGTTGATTCAGACATTTGGAATCGGACAATAGGGTCTAGGCTGAGAATGAAAAATTGAAGAGAAGCAGGGTCAAATTCAATGTCTAAAATGTCAAGAGCTGTCCTGAAGCATAATTCTGTCAGTGTTAGACTAATACCCATATGGCTACAATGAAGACCAGGTAATAAAGCTAGTTTTCAAATGTATGCCGCAACCACTGATGAGGAAATTTAAGACTTTCACCAACTTTTGCCATATGATATATCAACTATTGAGTCTAGATGCATATTGATAACTACTGATGATTTGGATCCAAAAGTCAGAAACAAGGACGCATTAGTAGTTGGAGGATAGGGGCTTGGGGTGATGAGATGGATGCCAGAGATTGCATGATAAAACTGTGCAAGACCCCCGACTTACCTGTTGTAGATCTCTTGTATCAGCAACACACGTGGAGACTGAATACCTGGCTCTCACTGGATAGAAGACAGAGGAATCAGATC